GGGAAAAAGAGCCAAACTTGGAAGTGCTCCATTCCCAAAATTTTTCGGATCAAAACGAAACCCACGCAACCCTCTATCTTTCTTACAAAGAGATTGGGGTAGGAACACCCAAGAACTACATCAAACCTTAGAGAGAAGGTGAAATGTAGTGAGAGAATCTCTCAAAATAGATTTTTGAAAAGTAAAAGAGAGTAGGAGAGTGTGAAAAGTGATCTGAAATAACGCAGTCCAGATCTGATATACGCATGATCCGCTCGAGCAGAGAATGGGATGCTCAAGCGTCAAACACAAAAACTGAACCCGCTCGAGCGCCAAGACACAATAACAAAACACACCCGCTCGAGCGCAAAAGAAGACCCGCTCGAGCGTAGATTACACTCATCCAGCATTTTTACAGAGTTCTAACACCCGCTCAAGCGCCAAGATACCCGCTCGAGCACGACCCGCTCGAGCGTAAGGAAATCTGCTCGAGCGTGAAAAACACATCTGCAGTAGTTTTGCAGACGCACAAGATACTGGAAGTATGTAGACTCCGCTCGAGCGCAAATGGACCCGCTCGAGCGGATCACCTAAAACCTGGGCAACAACACTAGAGACCAGAACTCAACCAACCTGTTCGAAACACGCCCAAAACAATTCTAAACTCAATGACCAAGAGTTAAAGGATGAAAATGCAACACAGACAATAACCATCAACCACGGAATCGAGTCTGGGATACTATTAAACAGTAAAGGGAAAACCGAGATCGCTATATCAATTGTGGTTTTTTTACGTAAAAATTATTTGTGTCGATTTATTGTTTATTTCGAAAACAACAATCGTAATCACTTTCGTAAGTGCTTAATGATTTAGATTGTGTGTTTTGAATGGTTGGGAATTGAAATATTTTAATCTTGATCTAATCACGAATCACTTAGGATTTTCAATATCCATACAGAACTGTTCCATTGTGGCTGCAGAGGACTTGTACAACATGAATAATTCCAGCAGCAGCAAGATGAAGAGCTATCTGGGAGGCCGTGGATGGTGTACGCTCAAACGGTGTATATTGAATTGTACATCGATGAATTCAACAATCCAGCAGGGTGGACGGAGTGGCCTTCTAGTGATCCTCAAGGAGGCTTGGACAGTTTGTACTATGGAGAATATGAGAATAGTGGGTCGGGTTCGGGGACTGAGAATCGAATCAGTTGGGCAGGGTACCACGTAATGGATTACTATGATGCCTCTATTTTCACAGTGTCTGAGTTTATAATTGGAGATGAATGGCTGGATTCTACTTCCTTCCCTTATGATGATGGGCTTTAATCTAATACTATATAATAATGTCCTCTTTTGTTTTTTTTTTTTTTTAATTCATAATGTGTTCGTCACTGTTGGTAATTCGATGAGTACAGTAAAATGTACGTACCTGATAGTCATGAAAAAATTAAAAGAGAGAAAAGTTATGAGATGATTGAAGGATTGAACAAGTGTTTAACGTTAGTTCAAAAAAAACAAGAATAGGTCTTTAATGTAATTTATGCTTCATGACTGATGCATGCTTTGTAATTGTCGGTGGTGGGATAATCAACCAACTAAGCTTGTCCCCAGTCAACTTTTTGGACTAAATGAGTAGGAGCGTTTTTATTGGTGTGGGCTCACTCGTATTCCATATGATAATTTTTTAACAAAAATATTTTAGAGTTTTAATTTGTGAATTCTAATAGTTCTAATGTGTATGTCGGGTTCATCTGATGTGATGTTTTGGCCTTATTTATTATTTTATTTTTTTTGACTTTTCACCTCACTAGAGTTCAATTAGAGCTCTAGTTTTAGAGGGATGTATCATTATTGATTTTTTAATTTGTTCATGAAAAAAATTAAATTACTTAGACAATAAGAATTACTTAATCGGCTCATATTTTGATTAATTTTATTTTTTATATAGTGTGATGATTGTTTTGCATCAGTTCTATTAAAGAGTTTGACATCATGGCTTTGCAAGTAGCAGCCTCTCATCCCTCACCATGGTCAGCTACTATTGCCGGGTGAAACATTTAACTTGAGCATTGAAGTTGGCACTTAAGTTTCATTATGATTGATGATTATTAGAGAAGTTTTTGAAGTAGTCAGATTTGTTGTATAAACTTGGATTTTGTTCGCATGGACGGTGAGTTTGTTTAGAATTGAATAAAATTAGATGCAGTTCATTCTGATAGCTATCAACAAATGAGTATAGACGACCATGCTTCCATTAGGCTTTTGTTATGCTACAATGGCCCAAACTCAGCTAATTCGTAGAGTAATACTTTAGTGATTATATCACATTCAAGTGGGTAATCAATTCATTTACCACGTCGGAGTGTAACTTTTTCACAAATCTCATTATAATAGCCACGAATTGCCAGAGCCTTTCATATTCTACTACTATAAATTCTACAATTGATTTTGATAACATTTGGTTCATAACCTTTACCATATAGAATCGTAACATTATACAAAAATTGTGTATAACTCCAAGCAAATGATGTTTCTGAATCGTACTAAAATAAATTGAATTGTGTTGGCAATGAAAATTTAAGCAATTGGCAACAAACACAAGCAACACTACTTATCCAAAAAATAAAATCAAATCAAAGCTCATCAACATATAATGCTAATAAAAGCTCAAGAAAAATTTAGTAACTAAAGATTCTTATGCGCACCTTCCTAGGTTCCCAATATTGTGCACAACCCGAGTATGTAACATTTTCCTATTTCGAAATGGAATATGATTTACAAAAACATTCAACATTATTTGACAATGACATCACATTCAAAATTATTCCACAATGACATCTTGCAATTATATGCCATGATAATAGGTGTTTTAAATAGAAATAAAAGGGTAATACTATACAAAACAACAAATTGAATATATGCATATGTACAACTAGAATGCACATATGCATATGATATACATCAAATTGAAAGAGGCCTTCTTTTAAGATCTCAGATTTATATATATATATATATTTTATTTATATTTGTTAATGGGTTAAAGGTTTTCAAAGGTCAATGACTTAAGTCTACATAGCTGTATTGGTTTCATCATGGTTTCTTTAAATTTTTTTGCTTTCCAGATCGTCTTGCGGCTTCCTCCAGGCACCTTTCACTAGACCACCCTGTCACGTCCCTACAGAATTCTCCAAAAATATCCAGATAAGAGCTTGGAAGAATGGGAGCCAATAGAAGAATCTAGAACTTCCTATCATACTCCAGCACATACGAGACCATGGAGAATTCTAGAAGGCCCTAGGGAATTCAAGAACATACCCACTTGTACATATGACTACACTTGTAGATATTTGTAAAGATACTTCTAGAAGGCATTCTAGAATGATTATGTAGCTTATAGGACGGGTTCCATGGGAAACTTCTCCATACCACTTTCTTGTGTATTCTACAATGCTCCAAAAGAGACTATAAATATAAGGCTCATTTGCACTAATCCATTTAAGAGTTGTACAAGCTTTTTCAAAGTGAATATAAAAGGCATTCTCTCAAACTTTCTTTGTCTTCTTACTTGTTTTTCTTGCAAGTTTGTGAGTTAGACTCACTTAACATCATCAAGTAAGGCTTGTGATTGTCTAAGTGTCACGCGGAGTGCTTGGAAATAATGCTGACGCACTTCCCAAACGAAGCCGGTGTATTATTCAAATAATTCACGTTTTAAAATATGAAAATATCATTATTGCAGGAACTGAATAAAAAAATTATAAACAAATGTATATTACTTAATTTTTTGATAAATGATCCATATGATAAAAAGGGAAAAAAAAAATGGAATGATTAAAGGGAAGGAGGGAGGTCATACAAACTGAAAAGGAAAAAGATAATGATTGAGAGTTCTCTATATTATTTCCTACTGAAAAAGAGGGTAAAATTTGGAGAGATGCGTCACCTTCCTAGTTTGCACTAATGCTAACGCACTTCCCAAACGAAGCCGGTGTATTATTCAAATAATTCACCTTTTTAAATATGAAAATATCATTATTGTATGAAATGAATAAAAATTTGCCGACTAATATTATTTTTGGTAGCCAATTCCGTGACTTTTGGCGACTAAATTAGTTTTGGTAGCTAAAAGTGGTCGGCAAAAATGCTTTTTCTTGTAGTGGAGGGAGGTCATACAAACTGAAAAGGAAAAAGATTGAGAGTTCTCTATATTATTTCATGTGGTGTTGTAGTGGCATAGTGGAGAGAGTGTGTTGCTAAAGGTTTAGAAAGTGGGATAGGTTGGCGGTTCGAATCTCAGAAAAAACAAAAAATTTGGTATTTTTTTTTTTTTTCACGGAAGCACCTTTGGCGACTAAAATTTTAGTCGCCAAAGTGTTTATTTTGGCGATTAAATGGTTTAGTCGGCGATTCAGTGAGTATTGGCGACTAAAAGATTAGTCGCTAAATGTGTGATTTTAAAAAGTGTAAATCACTATTGGCAATTAAAACATTGGTCGCTAAAGAGCTATTTTTTGCCGACTAAAAAAATTTTAGTCGCCAATACCTCCGGCGACCATGTATACGCGACAAAACGGGCAACTAAAAATTTTAGTCAGGGAAAGTAAAAACTCGATTTTCGACGACTAAAAATGGACCTTTGGCGACTAAAAATTTAGTCGGCAAAAGTGATTTTTCTTGTAGTGATTATAAAGCATGCATCAATCATAAAGCATAAATTACATTAAAGACTTTTTTTTCTTTTTTTCATAAATTACATTAAAGACTTGTTTTTTTTTTTTTTTTGAACTACCATTAAACACTTGTTCAATCCTTCAATCATCTCATAACTTTTCTCTCTTTTAATTTTTTTCATGACTATCAGGTACGTACATTTTACTGTACTCATCGAATTACCAACGGTGACAAACACATTATGAATTAAAAAGAAAAAAAAAAACATTATTATATAGTATTAGATTAAAACCCATCATCATAAGGGAAGGAAGTAGAATCCAGCCATTCATCTCCAGTTATAAACTCAAACACTGAAATTAGAGGCATGATAGTAATCCATTACGTGGTACCCTGCCCAACTGACTCGATTCTCAGTCCCCGAACCCGGCCCACTATTCTCATATTCTCCATTGTACAAACTGTCCAAGCCTCCTTGAGGATCACTAGAAGGCCACTCCGTCCACCCTGCCAGGTCGATGAATTCATCGATGTACGATTCAATATACACCATTTGAGCGTACACCTTCCACAGCCTCCCCAGATAGCTCTTGATCTTGCTGCTGGCGGAATTATTCATGTTGTACAAGTCCTCTGCAGCCACAATGGAACAGTTCTGTATGGATATCCCAGTGTTCTTGTCTAGAATGTCCCTGGACTGGGCAGTGATCACTGTGAACTGCCCCGGCATGGGCTTTCTTGATACTATGTTGGATGCCTGGAAAGGAACGGCTGCGTTACCAAATATGAAATCAATGGTCCCATAAATGTCGCATTCTCTATAAAATTGTCTGAAGGAATGGACGTAGAGTGTGTCTTGGTAACCGATTATGGTGCACTTGTACATTGCTGCAAAGTCCGCGTTGATGCGCAGTGCAACTGCTTGGTACTTCTCGGGTCCAACCCTATTCTCGAAAGTTATGTCACTTGCCAGAAACCCATCCCCGGAGACAGCTGACATTAGAATTGGGAAGGGAGGCAAACAAGAATAACTTCAAATTTTAGTTTAATTAAGAAACAAACTTTGCTGCATTGCATGAACAAAAGATGAGTGTCTTGGGCAGGGTATTATCCGGCGTTACTTTGTTCCTTCCAAGCAGTGGAAACATGAGTTTTTTCCCAAACATAGTTATCAATTCCATGTTCTCTTTTTAATGTCGTGCGTTAGAAACAAGAGTTCAATTTAAAAAATGGTTAGATTAATTAGATTTAAAAAATAAAAAATAAATCATTCATTATTAGAGTATTAAATTTTTTGGGAAATAATAAATCAGTGTATTGGTTAAAAAAAAATTCAGATCATGATAAAATTTATAAATTTTAATTATTAGAATCATAAATTTTTTCATGAATGTATAATTACTTTTAAAAATTAAACCTCACTTGCAATTTTTCCTTTTTTTTTTTTCCCCATTGTAGGTATTTTTTTGGCCCCACAATAAAGGTATTAAAATAGGGCTACAAATGAGTCAAACTGAATTTTAATATGTGTAGGTTTGTTTATTAATATTTTAACGAGTTCGAACTCGAGTTCAAGAAAAATTTAACAAATTGAACTCAAGTTAAATTAACTTAAGCTTGACTAGAGCTGGAGCCTATTTAACAGCTTTAACGATCCAAAAAAATTATGAATTCATACTTGCATATAAGACTAAAGTTATTATTAAAATTTTGATTCTATAATTTTATATACAATATATATATATATAAATAAACTTAAAAAAGTCAATATTTTACTAAAATAATAATTTTAGCACTACTATTATATAAATGTATTATCTACAGTTAACTATTATTTATATTTACATTTTTTAAATATATAAATAACATAATTATCTTATTTTCTATACATACTTTTATATTTTTAATATATAAATAATAAATATTAAACGAGCCACTTAACGAGTCGAGTTTTAGTAAGTTTGGACTTGTTTATTAAAATTTTAACAATTTCAAACTCGAATTCAAACGCCAAAAAAAATAAATAAATTAATTAAATTCAAACGAGTTCTTGTCAAGTTGAACTTGACCTTATTCACAATGGACTCTGTTCTACCATAGAAATAGAAATAGAAATAGAAATGAAAGGTTGTACCAAAACAAAAATGAAAGTGGATTCCATTTCCATTTTGCAGAAAGGTTGGAACTTTACCAACAGTGGCTGATCTGAAAGTAGTCCAACCATCCACCACGCTTCTGTTGCCCGTCTCCAAACATTTCCATTTCCATTTCCATTTCCATTTCAACATCGCTTCCATCTCCAAACATCACAATGTTGGGCTTGTTATTTGGTATCTCCACATTCTCCTCATAAACCCCTTCTCTCACATATATAATTATTCTCACATCACTGTTGTTTGGCGCGAAATTAACAGCATCAGTGACTGTCGTAAAGTTTCCACTTCCATCCGCGGCCACCGTGAGCACCTGGCTCGGATCATATGCGTCGCCGGAACTCTGCAAGATGCGGCGGTCCTTCCCTGAAACCCCCCATTCCGGAAAACCCATACCCATGAGACGGCGGCGCTTGTTATGGCCATTCAATGCGGCCGGTGGTTCAAAATTGGAACCAGAGAGAATTGAGAGAGAATTTCTGACGTGCTTGTATGTGGTGATTATGGAGTTCACCAGGGTCGGTTTCAGAGGACCCGATGGCCTAGGGCCTTTGTTAAAAAGATAGAGGGTGTTGAGAGCTTCGATTTAATCTGAAAAAGTTTGGATTTGGAGCACGTTGATCTTCGAGTCTTCATCTCCTTTTTGGCTAAAACTCCAAGGTAGGGATATCCTACTCCTCTCTATGGGTTTTGTCTTTAAATTTTGGTATTTTGAGATGTTGGGCTTGGTTTGGTAATTTTGTGAAAGTTTGGGACTTTGTGTAATTTTACAAAGGTTGGGGTTTTATTCATAATAAACCTAGATGCATGTTTGGCATAGAGAAATGGAATGATTGTTGAATCATTGGTGAAAATGGGACCTAAGGGCTGAAATGTTAATTATGGGAATTGACCTAATTACATTGTTTAATTAATTGGGATAATTAATTGTGAGGAATACTGATTATCAATTGTATGTTTGACAGTGGACAACTCATTCTGAACTGTTGGATTCTCCTTCTGGTTACATATTAATGTTTCCAGCTCCAAGATGATTTTGTCTTTCATGTCATTTGCTGCCTACAGATTCTGGTTCTCAATTTATAGTTTCTTGATGAGGTCCAATGCTTTTTAATGGTCTGCAATCATTTTATCTATAATGTTGTCCTGAGCAACCTTTGACACAATGACTTGATGCAACCCATGCGCATGTAGATATGCAATAGTCTCTGCACCTTCCTCAATATTGGCTTCATCACATGCACTGCTCTGAAATTGTGCTTCATTGCCAAACTCTCCATCATATGTCACATCAATGTCATCCTCTGGTATGCTAGCACTCGTGTCCATTTCTTCCATAAATTTAACGTGACGATCCACATTAGTTTGAAATTGTAGTTGAAAGATCTAGAGATCCCCTAGATATTAATTTGTGATTATGTAATATGCTTATCTGTGGATATTGTTGTTATACATATCTGTTGTAGAATGTGGATATAGCTTATTTGCTTATCTGAGAATGTGGATATTGTTGTTATACATATCTGTTGAGCATGTGGGTAGTGCTTATACGCCTATCTGTTGAAAAAGGGGAAATTAAAAGTAATTGGGACTTGTAAGTCGTTTGACATAAATATATGATTTATGTGATTGTATCAGTGTTGGCCATCTATCAATTGCTAATGTTTTAGGCATTGTTCATGGTTGGTTTAGTGTATTTCTACTGGGCTGTGGCTCACCCTATATGGGAATATCATTTTCAGGTGCAGGAAGCATGCCACCTCCAAGGACATAGCTGGGAGGCTAGTGGCGGACATACTTTTGTTGCTTAACTTTTGATGTATTACATGTAACTTCAAGCCAAGGGCTTTATGTGTAAACGAATTAGTACTCTTTTGTTGTAACCAAGTGTTAACTTGGAAAGCTGTAAGCCCGTAGGGCGTTTTGTTATGATGTTAACATGTAATACTTATGTAATGGAACTCTATGGAATAAAGGAATGTGGTTAGTTTATATGTAAATGCATGTCTCTTTGAATGGGTTTAATGTTATTATTTTGAGGGCGTTACACCAACCATCCACCACGCTTCTGTTGCCCGTCTCCAAACATTTCCATTTCAACATCGCTTCCATCTCCAAACATCACAATGTTGGGCTTGTTATTTGGTATCTCCACATTCTCCTCATAAACCCCTTCTCTCACTTGTATAATTATTCTCACATCACTGTTGTTTGGCACAAAATTAACAGCATCAGTGACTGTAGTAAAGTTTCCACTTCCATCCGCGGCCACCGTGAGCACCTGGCTCGGATCATATGCGTCGCCGAAACTCTGCAAGATGCGGCCGTCCTTCACTGAAACCCCCCATTCCGGAAAACCCATACCCATGAGACAGCGGCGCTTGTTATGGCCATTCAATGCGGCCGGTGGTTCAAAATTGGAACTAGAGAGAATTGAGAGAGAATTTCTGACGTGCTTGTATGTGGTGATAATGGAGTTCACCAGGGTCGGTTTCAGAGGACTCGATGGGAAATCATGGCCTTCTAAGCAAGTGTTCTTGTTGGTGAGGGCTGCGTTGAGGAAGGTCCTCGCATCGGCTAGTTTTTGGGTGTTAGCTGAGTTGACTCTGGACACTGATTTCTGCAGACAAGATACTGTTATTTGGTGGAGGTCCTTGCAGTCCTGGACTGCTCCCCTCTGTTTCTCAATGATGTTGGAGGGTCCCAGTTGGGAAAATCGATTGGACAGCTTTCCAGCTTCGGATAAAGCTGTTTGAAGGGACTGAAGGAGATAGGAGAGGATGTTGGGACTTATGTTTATTGAAATGGAGAGCTTGAGTGAGTTGAAATAGACATCTGGGTATGGTGTGGATTTGCAGACAGATCTTATAGAAGAGAGATGGGAATCTAGAGAAGTGGTAGTGGTGGAAAAAATGTTAGATAATGTCTCAATGAGACCACATAATTAAATGTGGTGTTATCATTTATAAGAAGCCCACAATTTAAGTGATTCAATTTAGTTAATAGGCTTAAGGGTATATGTGTTATGGACCTAATGTGTAGATACTAGTTGTATAATTTCTATTTCTATGAGGGGCAGAAATAGAAATTAAAACATAATGGTTAAAGTTGGTTTTCATTCCTTTTGAACTTCCACAACCTTTCAGCTTTGAAAACCAGTAAATAGAAATCAAAACCAACAATGGTTAAAGTTGGTTTTCATTCCTTTTGAACTTCCACAACCTTTCAGTAAGGGGAAAGGATTAGAAGGCAATAACATAGTCAATATCAAATTTTAATCTTTAAATGGACTGTTTTGTTTTTCTAAATCCTCTCAAGGAGAAACATAAGGCACATAAGGGAAAGGATTAGAAGGCTCTAACAAAGTCAATATTAAGGTTTTATTGACAATCAGACGCTTCCGTTTAACCGTTCATCAATGGATTCAGGTATGTCATTTTGTCTTGATTTCTTGATAATACACATGGTAAACGATCCAAAGTGTAAGGTTTATGTTCTGAAATTTATGTTTACAAGAAAAAGAAGAAGAGTTGAGAGCCCATGTTGTGGAGAAGAAGAGCAGAGAGAGTAAGAAGAAGAGTAGTAAGAATGAATTTAGAATGGAGGAAGCCATGAGGGAGGGCAGTGAGGTGATAGTGAAACTGGGAAGACAGGACATGGATGTATAACACCACTATTTTAAACTATCTTTGGAAACGTAGGGAAATAATAAAATAAAAAAAAAGAAATAAAATGATTACTTCAGTTATAAGAGGAAAAAAATGATTGTGATTTTTTTCCTTTTTATTTGAATAAATAAGAAATAAAAGAAAAGAATTTATTGTAATTTCTTTCCTTCATATTTGACTAGATTTAATAAGAGAAAATAAAAGAAATTATTTTATATTATATTGCCAAAATAACATTTTTATATTTTAAATCATTTTATTTCTTTTATTTTTACAGGGACAAAATTGGTATTACGAAAATATTAGTTTCTTTTCTCTCCCAATCTCTCCACTTTTTGGAAGATTGAAAATAAAGGTTAAAGATAAATGAGTTTCTCCTTATTTCTCTCCACTTATGTTATCCAAACAAATAAAAGTAATAGTATCTCTCCATTTCTTTTCTTTTCTCTCCAAATCACTCAATCCAAACATAGCATTAATTTTGGGGTGTTTTGAGAAGGGAAAAAAAAAAGTTAGCTTTTAGCTTTTTACCCATTTTGGATCATATCGTCTCTCACATATTTTATTCACAAAAAGACAAAATAGACTAAAAAAGTCAAAAAATTAACTTTTTACCAACTTTCCAAAACACCACATTCTTGTTTTGAAACTGGTGGATGAGAAGGGGAAAGGGAAAGTATAGTTGTCCTCGAATTTTGCATATACGAGTAATGTTAGAAATCATGAAGAAAATATCATGAAAATGATCATGAAAGATTTTTCACCTTTAGATTATACATACAATAAAACACCATACACTAATCAAATGTTGAAAAATCTTCATGATACATTTCATGATATTTTTTTCATGATCCTTAGCATTATTCATTTGAAGCTAATGTGGACTGTTCTTAAGGGCTGATTTGGCATGTTTGAAAAAAGTCAAAAAGCCAAAAAATTATTTAAAAAGCCAAAAAGGAATCATTATTCACAAAAAAATATATATAAAAAAAATAAATTTCCCCAAAAAAAGTACAAGCCAACTTTTTAGCTGAAGTGATGTTTTGGTTTAAAGTGATGGTACGAACTCGTCAAGCGGGTGCACACAAAATTTACATAGGACGCTGTTATTTGACTCGTGGAGGCCCATCACGGGTCCCGTTTTGATAATCTGAACTATTCAATGTGTAGAACTCGTCGAGTACTATATGCTTGTAAAAAATCATGTTGATTGGATATTGATAACTATATGATCAAATTAGTTTGTATAAAAAAAAAAAAGTGGGTGTTACACAAAGCAACGGTTGACAAAAAACTAATCCGATCAGATAGTTATCGATATCCGATCAACGTGATTTTTTACAAACATATAGTACTCGGTGAGTTCTACACATTGAACAGTTCTGATTATCAAAATGGGACACGTTGTGGCTCCCCACGGGCCGAACAACACTGTAGGCAATCTGGTCCTATATATCTTGCTACCAACCGTACGCATGACGGTACCATCACTGTCAGTAGGCAATTATATATTTAGGGGTAAGATGGTAATTTTTCTATTTTATACAATATTTTAATACACAATTTTCTTAAAAAGTCAAAAATTTATCTCAAACAATCATCTTTTTTTTCTCTACTTTTTAGTCCAAAAAGTCAAAAAGTACACTTATTTAGTTCATCCCAAACAACCCCTAAATATCTTTGGGAACAGATGTTGCATGATCTCCGGGTAAACTCTCCTCCCTCGATAATCTGAATTTTTTTACTTTTTAAATCACAATATATAGATTATTGATAAATAAATAAAAAATAAAAAAATCAAGCGATATCTATAATCACAATATTTTATTGTATTTATCCTCTAAAGACCGACGGTCTAACTTTAAAATGATATTTATAGTTCATTTTTTTATAAATTAATAACATAAATTAATATAATTGTATTTATTCGATCAACTTAATTTTTTTATAAATAATATATATATTATAATTAAAAAATAAATTATTTAAATTATTAAAGAGGAAACGGTGAGTTTTACGGGGACAGCATAATCTGGTCCACTTTGACCAGAGAGAATATGTCCCCTTTAAAAATACCTTCACTCCAATATTCATATAAGGAGGTTGCTCATCTCCGGTTGGATATTCATATAAAATAGATAACCGAATATTATTAATCATATGATTAATTTATGTTTATATTACAAAAAAAAAAATAGATGATTTATTTTTGATATTATATTTGTTATCAATTTTTTAAAAAGCAAATGTGATCCAAATCGCATTGATTTTTTTCTTAATAATACTCAATTGATCAGAACTAATGCAAATAGTATGCAAATAAAAAAATAAATAATGTATAACTTTTAATGTAAAAAAAAAAAATAATGCGTGTGTTTAGTTTGAATTTTTTGGATTAAGTTTTTTGAAAATTGGATTTTTTGTTTTTAATTTTTTTTGTTTTTAGTAAATATTTTTAAAATTTTAAGCATTTTTTTTTTTACTTTTTTAGATGCATCTTATTTAGATGTGTCTAAAAAGTAAAAAAATTGTGAAAAAATATTTTAAAAAATTAATAAATAAATAAATAAAAATATGAAAAATATACTGACTTCTCGTATTTTTTGTATTTTTGGTATTTAGTGAATTTTTACAAGATTTTTTTCACAAAAATTATACTTTTTATATGTATTTATGTTAGGTGTGTCTAAAAATTAAAAAAAAAAATTGCTTAAAATATTAAAAAGATTTAGTAAAAACAAAAAAAAAATACGGAAATAAGAAAGTATAATTTTCTAAAAAGTGTTTTCAGAAAACCAAAAAGACGCAAAGTGAATAACATTTATTTATTTATTTATATGTCTAATAAATTATTGATTAAAAAGTATGAATTAAAATATTAATAACCCAATATAATTATGTCAAATTTGTGAAACTCATTATATTTTTTTGGCTAAAATTTATTTTACCTTCCTATGATACGACTTGATAGCACTTTACTCCTATCATTCAAAAATAGTCATATGCCCCTATGTGGTTTTGGACTAAAATACAAAAGTGGATGCCAACTCATTAGCGGTGCTTTAGAGCACCACTTCTAGTGGGATGTAGCATTGCTACTATTGTTAATTACTTCAGGCCGTTACAATGGAAGAGAGAGGAGAGAGAGGGTTGAGATTTTAATTAGGGTTTGAAATCAGAGTGTATACTATAGGTATGATATATATATATATATAAGTAGTTTGGTCATTTTGCCTAAGCATGTCCTTATGGGCAAAGTAATTTTGTAACATGTAGAAGAAAAGATGGATTGCGTACGCAGTGAAAGGAGGAAACCAATATATCTCCCTGCAGGTCTAAAATTCTAAGAAAATGAGTTTCTGCTCGAGCGAAGGAGTAACCGCTCAAGCGGTCTCTGCTCTCATGCCACTTGAGCGGTCTATTCGGGTTCAGCCAATATAAAATTGAGTTTTTTTTTTGTATGTCCGAAAACCCTAGCTCTCAAATTATAGATTTCATCTACTTTTACTAACAGTCCATGTAACGCCCCAAAATTTATCCAATATAATCTTGGTACATCAACTGACATTCATTAAAGAATAATAGCAATTCCCCAATCATCGTAACATTGATCATAGAAGTTGGTACAAAATAGTCCCACATGCAAATTATACATTCAATGATATTATATACATGAATCTATAGCATGTAGAATGTCAAATTCAAAAGTAAATAGAATGCCCTCAAGGGTTTACAAATTCCAAGGCTTAAGCCCGGTTACACAAAAATAGTCACTCGGACTCAAACAGTTATAGCCCTAGGCTTATGAAATACAATCACAACAAAACAGAGCCTTGTGCTTTATATACATATATCCACGCCCTAGATTAGCGGATTCACCACGTCCTTTCCTGCACCAAAATCCCATAGGGGTGAGCATAAAGCCCAGTAAAGAATTCTTAACAAAGTATCTACATTTATGCAAGATTCCCAATATGAAATGCACATGCCATGCCATGCCAATTAAAAGAGGATTTCATTCACATCTTTTAAAAAGCCACCATGCTCAATGATAGTTTGAAATCTCAACAATTTAGAAATTTACAATTTAATTCAGAGGGGCAGTAAATACGGCTCAAGTGATCCCTAGGTTGGTATTTGCAAGTAGGCATAACTAGCACTACCAAAAATCCCACTTTATCGGTTGCTAACTGGAAGGGAAGTAGTACCTCATTCGCGTGTGTTTTCGGTCTTTCACTACAGACACTTAGGCCAACTTAATCAGTCTTATCTACACCTCCTATCCAGACTTACCAACGTATTTATCCCAAAACATTTTAATAATTCCCATTTCAAAATATCCTTTTCTCAATGTAAATTTTTCCAAACTCAATTCAAAATGTATAATAATCAATTGAATGAGTATGTAATGCAATAATTATCAATGCCTCATAACATTTCTCCACTTTTAAGTATCTCAACAATAATACCATAATTAAACAAAATTTCCATCTCTCCCCTCAATGCTATTACACACAATAGCCACACATGCATTTAATTCCATCAATAGATATCAACGTTTCCATATTCCGAACTTCTCCCAACAATTTAGTCATTTCAAAAAAAAAAAAAAAATAACAATATCTTAACACAACAATTTCCAACATCACCACTTCTCATATTTCATGAAATTCATCATTTGTGTATCTATTTATACACACACACACACACACATATATATATATCGATGAGAAATTTCCAATCATTAATCATTTTGGCACAAAAGGAGTAATATAATGACAATGTTGTCTATGAGTTCTCAACAACCTTTCAAACCCCAAAACCCTAGTTTTTCCTCACCACAACCAAGCACATTCAAATCTCTAGAAAGGGGTTTTCTTCAAAAAGTTTCTTTTTCTCAATCAATGTAGTTCAAAATTTTCAAGAGATCATTTTTAAAAGAAAC